AACCTCTTCCTGTGTTTTTTTTTTTTTTTTTTTTTTTAACGTTTTAAGACGTCTTTAATATTTATGCTTGCAGCATGTGTCTTCAATCACTCAATATCAGAACTCCTGGAACACTGAAGACAGGCCAACAAAGTAAAATTAAAAATGTAAAAATAACATAGAATTAATTCAGTTATATTTTGTTATTTCCTTTAAACCTATAGGCATGGAAAATCATTCATGCACACCTTGAAACTTTTCACGTTGTGTCATGAGTCCAAACAATGTGTTTAATTGATGAAGTGTGACGACAAGGAACTATTGTTGAAAGAAAGCTGTGAGAGTTTCTCTACATCAGGTAGGAAATACAACTAGTCCTATGTCTAGGACTAAGATGAACTCCAAGTAATAGACATAGGACTAGGAGCATTGGTACCTGCATGTAAGGAGCATGACATGCAGGAAATTTCTAGAAGAAAACAGCCATGCAAAAACTCGAGATTTGTGAGGAGGTTCATCTAGCAAGACAATAACACTAAAAATAAAGCCAAAGCTAGAACAGCATTGTTTATATCAAAGTCCATCCATGTATGCAATGGTCTAGACAAAGTCCAGACCTAAATCCAAGTAATACTCTTCACTTCGTGTTGGTCTGTGAATGGATGTGATGGACAAAAATGTGACAAAATTTGAAGGGAATATATTACTGAAAGGTTCTCTGCTATATGTGAATGAAACTCACAATAAATTTGCTGTCTTTTTCCCCCGGTGTGCTCCCAAGAGCAATGACAACATCACGCGAAACGTCCAAGCGGATCCTGTTTTCGCTCTTTATTCCTATAATAACAGGTTCTTGGCAATCGGCGTAAAATACCAATCTGTCCGGCTCCAGGCTCATGGCCAACTGCACCCATTCGCCGCCACGGACGGGATTTCTCTTTGGAAAATAAAATCTGGCGAGTGATACTCCAGCAGATTGGTAGTCCAAATGCAGAGAGTTATTGATGGTGGAGGAGATGATTTGGAGTACAGGCGAGGTCGCTGAGGAGAGAGAAAAGAGGGTAGCACTGGATCCTGATGCCTGACGTCCAACCAAATGCACTCCGATGCTGCCCTGAAAGTTGGAGTGCAGGAAGTCGGAGTATTCCTGAGGGAGGATCAGGTAAGCTGCTCTGTGACGTATTTTATACATCAAGCCGTTTGGACTCTGCAATCTGGAAACACCGCTTCTGTGCTGAGATAGGTTTAGTGCTGACAGAAGGTCAATTGCTACAAAGAGAGAAAGGAGAGAGGAAAAAAATATCAATCTACACAGCATCAGGGCATGTGAATGAAGACCCAGTGGATTCTGGATCAGGATGTCAATGAGTATGACAGTCTCATGTCTGCTTCATAGACATCTATCAGTCTGATCTGTACGCTTGGAGGACCATAAACACCATGTAAGAAAACATTTCCACTGTCAAAAGCTGTTCCTATTTAATAAGCAGGAACACTTGGGTTGGAAGCAGATGAACATGTCTTGCACTTTACAAAGCTCTGACAGTTGTCTTGTCAGCAGTCTATCCCTTGAGGGAAACAAATATATAATTTGGTGTTGAAATATTTATTTAAAATGGTCTCAGTTAAAAGGCCATTTAAATTTATGATAGACTAAATTCTAATTGGTAAAATTTATAGAAATACCTACATGCATGCATCTATCTGTTTGCAATCAATCTATGAAAATAAGTTTCACTTTTTGAATTGAATTATTGAAACAAATTAAGCCAAAATGATAGAAATGTGAACCTGTGCACTGACAGCAGTCTGTCACATACAGCAGTGGACATAATGATATATCTCAATAGTGCGTGTCTTATTATAAAATATTACTGACTCAGTTGACCTTTACATCTATATTGCAAGTAATGACTTGGATGTAACGCCTGATGCATTTTACAAAATATATCTATGATTTATTTCAATATAAATGACAGTGATCCGTTCTTTGGATGAATTTGCTTTGCAGCACTGTCAATTAAATCAAGCGTTATAAAGATAACATACTTCTTATGTGATTGCAAAAGTTTTACTTATTTCCTCAGCGCGTGCTTTAAATTGCGTTAAATGTTCACCTAATATTAAACTTTCACACGTACACTGACTTAGATATTAAAAATTCCTCTATTTGATTGCGACTCATGCAGAATCTCACCATCTTCCCGGTTCGGGGCAGAGTGTCCCCGCAAAGACATCACAAACGTCCACAGCAAATGCAAGTTGAGCAGCAGCAGCAGCAGCACCGTCCTCAGTTTGCTGCTCTCCATTCTTCAGGACCGAGAACATGGATCAAAACCCGACCAGTTCATATGAAGAGTCTGGCGCTCATTGTCCTTTTAGCCCGATCGGATGCCACAAAGTGCAAGCTGGCACTTCTCAGCGCTCCTCCGCGGCGGTCAGAGCTCTCCAGAGAGCGCGCGGAGGGAAACATAAAACATCTGGATACAGGCAGGGCGTCACTTTTCTGCAGTCTCACTCTGAATCCCCCTCGGGGCCTTTGTTTCACCATTTGCAGTAAATTGAAGCACGATAACAACTTTTTCTGCATGTGTTCTTATAAAACGAAGGAATGGGGGTGTCAAAATGTAGGCGTTTAGGTAAAAAATGTTCAGGTGCTTAATCTGTGGGAGGTCACTAAGTCATTTTCTCTGTGCTCAAACAGGGATGTCTCTGAGTACTTTTTTTGTTCCCTAGTTTTTTTTTTTCTTGCTTTCGCCTATTTTTTTTTTTTTTTTTTTTTTTTTTTTTTTTTTTTTATGCAGGAGGGGAAAATAACTTGAGTCTGTACCATTCAGTGGTGTTGATTTCCTATAAGACCCCAGTTCTGGAAATCAGCTAAAACCTGGTCTGGAGACTGGAGGGGAGTCATGCTGAAAAAGAATATGTTGAGTGAATGTGTGCACAGGCAGAGACAAGACAGAGGGCGGAGATAAACACAGCCTGGTCTCACTGCTTTTGGAAGCAGTCCCTGAATGCATCCCACTGTGCACCAAACCTCTTCGGTCTCCACAACAATTCTCCCAGATCTTCTTGATCATTAGGAGTCCTCAAGCAGCAAATGTTAGACTTTACTGGTAGAAATGTGGCCATATATCTTGATTAAGTATTGTGTAAGGGATAGCACTTCAAAAACAGCCAGGTGTTTCCTCTTGGATTCCCAAGAGCAGAGGTTCTGTCATCGCTCTGATGTCAGATTGTTTTCTCACAACATCCACTGCAGGAGATCTATACAATATGGTTGGACCCGATCTAAGATCTTCCCACTCTCTTTCCACATACCAAACAAAACCTCATCTGTGACTCATGCCTCTTGGACTGTAATAACACAATTCACCCCCTTCCCCACATGGGCTCCAGAGGTTGCATGTTTTCCAACATAGATCCTTTGAAGTGCTTAAAGCTTTTAGCCTATGGGGGCTGATTGAGAATTTAGATAAAAAGGTAGACTAGAGATAATGCTGGAACCTACCGTAGAATCACTGAGAAACTAAGAAAAAAATATTTTCAGTATTTTGCAAAAACATTCATTCCCCTTGAATTTGTTCATGTTTTATCCTGATACTACCGCAGCCTTCAAATTCCTGAAATTGATCAACATAAAGAAGTGCAGAGTTGTGATTCTTGAAATTAGAAATCTGAAAAGTGTGGTGTGTGAGATGGAGTCCTTACTTTATAGAGTCATCTTTCAGTGCAACTACAGCTTCAAGTCCCACTGGATATGTCTGCTCCCCTTGTGCATATTTAGAAATTGTATGTTTTGATGGTTCTTATTTACAGAATATCTCAAGGTTAGAAAAACAGGAAATTCAAAATGTTGCCACAGACTCTGAACTGCATTTAGGGTTGGACTTTGATTTTCCTGGTGAATCTTATTTGATCTAAATCCCTCCATTTCGGCTCTAGTTGTATATTGATGCTGATAGTTATACTGGAAGAAGTGATGATTTTTATGTTATTTATTTATAACTTTATTCATGTCCTGTGAGGTGTGTTCATTGATCTTCCTTATCTTGTTTTTTTCACTGACGTTCTCCAGCAGTTTTCTGAAGCCTTCCCAGAACAGCTGGATTCGTAAATAAATATGACAAGAATGTATTTTTATAATACATACATGTATCCAAATGCCCATGTCTCTATTACTCACACTTTAATGGCGGTTTGTGAAGTTAATTCATTTATCACAATAAATATATTAATGTTTGAAGCTTAATGTGACTAAATGTGAATAAGTTCAAGGGGTCAAGCATCTCTCTCATCCTTCAGCCACATCTCTGCTGACATCCAGTGGTCAAGTCTGGTCACAGTAGATCGATATGCATTTCTTTTTACTCGTATGATGCAGTCACCAAAAGTGATGGATAATTAAAAAAGGACCAATCTGGGAAATCCATGTCTGTAAAAAAAGACATACACAGTCAATTCAACCATTTTCCCTCCTATAACTAGAAATCTTCAGACACTTCAGTTTTCCCCTCTCACAAGTCTCCACTAACCAAAATATTTCCATGGAGCCAGATGACAGCCATTTATCACAGGGTTCTTTAAAGATATGTGCAGACATGTGTTTTGTGTCTTTGTGTTTGCATGCCTGTGCATGCTGTGACAAGAGTGTAAAGGGATGTAGGTTAATCTTCACAAGATAAACAGCCGCCATTTGATAGCTAATCCCTTGTCAGGTTCCATTAGTTTGTCACATGCTGCTAATTGAATAAATCCAGCAGGCAAAGGCTATGCGAAGTACAAAGACGTTTGTTATTGTGAACAGCACCTTGAAATAGGCATTAATTGTAAATAAAAAGAAACAATGCTTTGTTGTGGAGCGAGATGTAAAGAGTTTCTTGGCTTTAAGAGGTCAAGTGATAGGCAAATCCCCTACATTCACCCCTGGCCTGATCTTTGAACCTGCAGTCAGGTTCTTGCCACCTCTAATCTGATTGGAGTCTTCACCAGATAAAGCCCCACCTTCAGTTTTCAGCCTCTGAGCTGACGTTTATCCCAGGTCACACAGCATAAGCTGTCGTCTGCTCTTTAATGTGTAGGGAGCCTAGTGGGGGGGGACTTAGCTTGTGTGATTGTGACATGCAGTTTAATCTTCAACTGGCCATTGTTTATTCCTGAAAGCATCTTGGTACCTTTGCTCCCTGTCTATACTGACTTTTGAGCATTTCAGGGATCAAAGATGTTGGGTCCGTCACAAGTCAGAAGAAGGTGGAGGCTGGCAGGGAAGCCGCAAGGGATTTGACAAGAACAGGTCAGTCAGCTCAAGTGTTGTAAACCGCGTAGACGGTAGCACATCAGATGCAGATAAGTTGGGCCAGTAGTGGCAGGCAACTGAATGTGATTACAGTTTTACTCCATCAGGCTGGATAAAAAAGAATACAGATAAGTACGCAACATAAATTCCTGATAAAGTCAATGAAACTGGGCAGAGCATTAAGACATGAAGTGTGAGAAATAAATACCAAGAAATTGTTTGTTTGTTTTTTTAGAAATCATCAACAGATATTGTGCCTAGTTAGTATATATAAATTAAAAGTTCTGAGCAAAAGGGAATCAGCAAGAGTTGTGAAGTCAGAGCAAAATAGAAACAACAGAAACCCACTTAGAGAGGATTTGAGATAATTACGTAACAGAGAAGTCTGTGTTTTTGTTCTTTTGGACTCCTAATCTGAAGATGATTCTTAAAACACATCCATGAGTGTATTTAGTAAAGTTTGTTGACAAAAGATGGACACATGGCATTGCTTAGCTAGTTGTGTTTGCAGTCTCTGCTCTCTTTACACAACGAGAAGAAGCTCCTGAGGAATGGCCCTGGCGGAGGCGACTCTTTCAAGTCTGCTGGTCCTGCTTAGTCTGCACACAGTTGCAGGTATGGCCACTTTGCAGTCAAGATTTCTGAGAGCATCTCATGACGACGCATCTCCTAATTCACTGCTTTTGTGTCTGTTTTGTTAGGTATGTCTGGCTGGTCTGAATGCTTAGATGGCCAGGATGTGTTGGCAAAAATCAAAGAAAACAGCCTCACGGGAGACACTGTCGCCGAGTTTGTGGCAAACACAGACCTGAAAGGGGTTCGGTGGAGTCTGTCTGGGAGGGATGCTGACTGGTTCTACTTAGACGGAAGAAACATCCGGCTGAACACGTCAGCTGAAAAAGTCCTTGACCAAGAGGTAATTAGATGTGTTTCCATTAACGGTATTCAGTTTTACGACTACCTTAACAGAAAATACAATTAAATTGTGATATTTGTTATTTTTGCAATCTTAATCATGATATTTATAATAGATTGGCATCATAATGAAGGAGTTGTATGGAATTTTGGAGTAAACTGACAAAGAAAAATTCCTTCAACCTTGTCCTCAGGCCTCACGTTTTATCTTGTCAAATTGCTCCCAGACAAGCTGCCTTGAAGTGGTCCCAGTTGAAGGTCAACCAGATTAGCTGTTTCTCCCTCTGGCTTTCACTCTCTTTACACCTGACAATTTATCTCGAAAATGCATGATAAAATAAAAGTTATAGGTTCCCTGAACAGTTTCTGTCTTTTAATCTTTTATGGAGAAAAGTTCTGTTGTCATAATGTCACTGTAGTTTTCAACTTTTGACGCCTGTCTGTCTTCAAGGTGCATTGGTGTAAATATATTACTTTTGATTTTTATTCTGACCTTCTCCTGACAGTTACCTTTGTAAAATAAGATTCTTTTCATCCCTTTTAACCTTTTACCAGCTATGGCTTTAGCTGAAGGTGACAAATGAGCCAATCTTAACTGATATTTATTTTAGGTTATTATTCTTTGTAGCTAATCACATGTGTGAACTTAAGAACAGTGAATGCTGAAATTGAATCAAAAGGTGTTATTTCAGGGTTCCACACATTTTTCTATTTTTACATGTTCTTTTTTTATTTTGTAGAAATTAAGCCCGGCTTATTTTGTTTGTCCTTTAATGTGTTTGTGTCTGATTCGATCCTCTGATTGTTTTCAGTTGACATAAGGTTAAAGTTAATAGTTACGTTTCATTTTCCACGAGGATTTAAGCTCCTTGCCAATGTTGAAAGTGTCACAGGCATTGAAATATATTTCAACTTCCACATTTGTCCTTTCTCTTCCAGACTCTTGGTCCAGTCTTATTGGCGGAGCTATCATGTTATGAGGAAGACATGTTTCAGGTTCATTTTAAAGCATTTTTTCTATTTTGTGATTCTCCTTATGATAATGCAAATTAAAACTTGAATGTGTTTTGGTTTTCTTGTAGACCGTTTACAGAGTCATGGTGGAGATTCTTAATGAGAATGACAATTTACCCATGTTTTCAGAAAAAAGTGTACAGTCACTTAGGTTGAACGAGGTATGAGCACAAATTTAACCTTGAGATTTAAATCGATCTCTCAGGTGAAGGGTGTTTATCTGCTTATCTGTCTCTGTTTTATCCAGCTCACTCCAGTAAATGCTGTGGCTTTTACTGTCCAAGCCTTCGACGCTGATGATGATAAGATACTTTACTCAATTGACCAAACAAGCGTAAGTTTGACATTCGAACCACTAAAATAAATAAATACAAGAGAAACCAGTCGTTGACTGTAGATTATGTTTCTGTGTTACAGCCTGACGCCGAGTACTTCAAGATTGATCGGCCAAACAGTGGTGAGGTGATCCTTTCCAAACCGCTGGATTACGAGACTAAAACTCAGCTCACTGTCACCATCTACGCTTCTGTTCGTAACATTACTACTACTATTTTTCTTTCTTAATGAATGGCTTTAGTTGATTCAAAGCAGTATAGGCTTCTTATCCCACTCAAACAATGATGGAGTTTGACTTACACATGCTCTGACAGCCATGGTCAACACAAAGATCAAACTCATTTGGGGCTTTTAATTGTACATTTGAGACGTTCTGTTCTTCACGTTGACCAATTATACAAAAAACAACCTTTATGATTGTTTTAAGAGAACTATGAGCTAAGCAGCAGCAGTAGCAGTGGCATAAAAACAAACCATCACCATTATTACAGTACCACCACTAAGCCTGACAGTTAACATTTCCACAGTTTGACTCCTCCCAAAATACTTCATGTCATTTATGGAAAAATATCTAAATTGTTCATACATATATATATATATATATATATA